TGCAGCTATTTCTCACAGCTTTCTTTGTATCTCTTTCTATGTTTTGCTATGTATGTCCCTGTTATCTCAGAAAATTATAACGCATAGAGGAATCCTCCAGTAAATTTAATATAGTCATACCACAGCCACTCATATATTCTCTCCTGAAAATACTGATACCAAAACTAGGCTGGCACATTAAAAAAAAAAATTTGAAAAACAAAAATCTGGGCATTAACCTCCATTTAAGCATTTTGGGTTCCTTCCAAGGCCCCCCAAAAACCTTTAAAAATGTTACAAAAGTAAAAAATATCCAGTGCACACATCAGAGAATCTTGTATTTATATGTGATTACACTGTAGGGTTGTGTATAAAAGCAAACCTGTTATTTCAGCTGCCAGAATTAATGCAAAATTCCATTGATTTGGGTGAGAATTCTACATGGACAATATAATTGAGATATATTTATGAATCTCTACTGTTTGACTATCAATTATTTTGTAATATAGACTCAAGGTTTCAGTTTTGAAATAGTGGATAGCACTAAAACTAAGGACAAGTAGAGCACCTGAATGAAACCTGCAGAGCAAGCATTTTCAATCACAGAACGAAGTGTACAGTATTTGTTAAACAGACTTGATACACTGTTTAAGATAACACAAAGCATCTTAAAGGATTTTTACTACAGTAATATTCTGGTGAGCAGCTAAGCAATTAGGAGAATAATCACTGGTTAAGCAGTTAAATTAACATTTTATTATTTTAATTGAGTGAAATAGTACTACACTATGTGCAATATTTTATGCAATTTCAATATGGACAAATCAACTGTAACTAATTTGAATGCTTTATTAAGGCATACTTCAACCTTTAAGAGTGAATTATTCCAGTTAATTAAGTGTATTACTGTCCCATATAGCCTTGCAAATTGAGCCACTTTGGTGTGCTCAAGTTCAAAGAAGTATTAATAAAATAATTGTTCCCTGTTTGGTGTCCCCCTGGACCTATAAATGTATGTGTACCACCTGGAAAGTGCACTTACTGCCTATGAATAGGGTGACCGTATGTCCCAGTTTGGCTGGGGCAGTAACAGATTTTGTAGGCTGCATCAGCATCCCAGCTGTTTGGTGGAAATTGAAGTCCAGATTGGCACCATCCCACTTGTATGTGTCCAGCCCAGCTCCTCCTGAGCAGGCTGGAGGTGGAGGGACAAGCTCAGTGGAGCATCACTGCTCCTGCCTGGGGTAGGGATCAGGCAGGGCAGGGTAGGGCAAGCCAGGGGAGGGAGCCAAGGCCAGGGCATGGGCACCTACATGGGGCAAGCCAGGATAGCAGAGTGGGATGAGGTGGGACAGTGCAGAGGCCTGTGGAAAGGCTCCATCCCCCATGTGCAGAGGATGGGCCCAGCTACAAGTGGTCCCTGTGCAGCATCTCCTGGGCTCCACTGGCTTGTGCTGTGTGGCTACATGGTGCCTCCGCCACCACTGCCAGCAGCCTGGTGCCCTGCCTCTGTGGCCACTCCTGAGGCCCACGCTGCATGTGGCAGCCCCAGTTGGCTGCTGGTCATGGTTAAGGGGGTTTTACCATGTAGCCAAGCAGTACAACTTGGTGGAGCCTCGGGGGTGCTGCACAGGGGCTGTTCCCTTCCAGGTCCAGCCTCTGCATTTGGGGGATGGAGCATGTGCATGCACCCCATTCATGAATGATGATACAGATGTAAAGGCTTTGGACAAACAGTGCCCCCATAGATTTCAAAAGGTTGTAAACTTAATTAAAAATGTTAGTTCCAGTCTTAAAAATACTTGTATTTATTTCAGTAATTAAAAACTACTGAGTCATTATTTTGGACCAAGTTCACTTTGGTGTACATCAAGTCTTGTATCCAGGGACATTTCAGTCATTCATCAACTAAATAATCCCTTACTGGGAAATGCACTCACATAAGTAAATATTTTAAACTTGAAAAATATTTTATAATCTTTTTTTTTTTTCCCAGGGAACACCCTAGATGGGGAGCATCAAACACAGCTCTTGCTAGATGGCTCCCTCCAATTTATGAAGATGGAATCAGTCAGCCCAAAGGATGGAATCCCAGCATGTTGTACAATGGATTTGAGCTACCGCCGGTTAGGAGACTAATTAGCAAATCATTTGAAACAGCACTTGGCTTCATTTGTGCCTAGCACTCTAGAGTTTATCTTATATCAGTGAAATCCAGCCACAAAATCTATGTTAATTTTTAGAGTGGTTTGTTTTACTTATTTTTTCAGTGATTTAAACACTGAAGCCTTTACTTTTCTTTCAATCTGTGCAGAGGAACGAGTTGTTTGAGACTGACTAAGGATCTGGGTCATTATTAGGTACTTAATTAGTACCTGAATTTTAGGCAGGATTTCACAGTTCAGAAGGAAGACAAAGTCCAGGGAATTAAAACTAATATATGTGCATCACAGCAATTCATTCAACACTTCAACATTTTAAGTATCATAATACCTTAGTGGAGGTACCTACAAGAACGATTTGGATTTGATCCAAGGTGATCAAGGTATCAGTATGGCTTCCCTCCTGACCCTGAGTCAGCTGCTGATTTTTTTAAATATGGCACAACAAGGCCCAGCAATCAAGGCAAGTATATAGCTCAGGTTCAGTTCTGAATAGGTCAGCGCAGGCCTATTCAGTTCTGAATAGGTCAACGCAACATACAGTGCTTCTCAAGTTCTTTCATGACAGAGCTTGAGCTTGCACACAGAGGTGTGCCATTAGCCCATCATTAGTACAACCAGTGACAGCAAGTGGATTAGGTTTATATTTTCAGTGATGAGGTGAAATCACCCATAGGCTTCCTCCATTAAAATGACTTTAGTATATTTTTCAAACCTTTCGGTGTCCAGCTAGTGACAACAGGATCAGAATTGAGAGGTTTGGAAGCTCCTAGTCATGAACTGGTATAAAGGCAGAAGTTACAAGGTCATCTATCACTTGAATGAGGCAGGAGTGCAATTTGGCAGCTGTAACTGTGACTGAGCATCCCTCTTTAGGATCCACTCTACTTATCTCACATGGGGAGGGAGCTGGACAAGGTGTCCTAAACTCAGCCTGCCTACATTTTTTCCTAACTGGATAACTGTGTCCAGTGGGTTGACCTTTACTGTAGGTGAAATCAATGAAAACACAATCAGTTTTGGGGCCTGGAACATCAGGACCCTCATGGACAATCCTAATAGTGAATGCCTGGAGCACCACACTGAAACCATGGCTTGAGAATTCAGGTGACACAACATTGACATTACTACACTGAGTGACACCCAGCAAATGGGAGATGGGCAGCTCAAAGAACAAAGAGGCAACTATACTTTCTGGAAGGGTAAAAAGTAAGGAGAACACCAACTTCAATGAGTTGGATTTGCCATTAAGAATGAACTCATAAACCAACTCAATAAGTCCCCTGTTGAAATTAATGAGTGCCTCATGGCTCTCCATCCCAAACTGGCAGGGAGACAATATACCACTGTCGTCAGCACATATGCCCTGACTCTCGACGCTGCCAATGAAACCAAGGAGGAATTCTATGCCAACCTTGACCAACTTCTTTCTGATAGTTCAGAGGGAGACAGGCTTACTCTGCTTGGTGATTTCAATGCCAGAGTCAGAAGAGACTTGAACCTCTGGAACCACTAGCAGGGAAGGAATGGTACAGGTTAACTCCAATGGCATCCCCCTCTTGATCAAATGAGCAGGTCGAAGACATCATGACAACAACCACAATCTAAGCACTAGATTGACTACCTCATTGTTTGTGCCTGGGATTGCAAAAATGTATGCATTACTCAACTTATGCTAGGAGCTGACAATGTCTGGACCAATCACTGACTCATCCACTCAGTTATGTCATTTAGACTGGCTCCCAAATTACAGCTGCAGCAGAAGCAATGCCAATGGAAGGTCAACATTGAAGGTCTCAGTGACCCAATCAAGTGAGACCTCTTCAACCAGTGCCTCAAAACTGGTGAATTCCAATAAACAACAATGGGAGAATGTTGGCAGCACTTGGGGTGCCTTCAAGTTCACCATAATTGGTGTCTCCAAACAGACACTTGGATTCTCTACCAGGAAACACAAAGACTGGTTTGATAAGAATGACTGGGAGATCCAAAAGTTGATATACTGTAAGTCCAAGGCCTTTTGTGCTTGGCAGAATGACACCAACTCCAAGTGAAAAGAACTGAATCACCAAAAAGCCAAGGCAGAGGTCTAAAGGAGGACCTGCAGCATGAATAATAGATATTGGGAAGACAAAGCAGAGGAGACTCAACATGTCACTGACATCCAAGATATGCACAGTTTCTTTAGTGTCACCAAAGCCATCTACGGTCTGAGCACTCATGGGCCAACTGCTTGAGACCTAAGGATGGAGGAGACCTGATTAAGGAAAAGGGAGTCATCAAGGCCCACTGAAAGGAGCATTTTTAAGACCTTATTAATTAAGACTCAGCTGTTGATGGGAGTGTTCTCAGTTCCATCCTGCAATGCCCAGTCAGAGATGATCTTGGAATCCCTCCAGCCCTTCATGACATGAGAAAAGCTATCAAGCAGATAAAAGATGAGAAGGCACTTGGAGCAGATGGAATCTCTGCTGAAATGTTCAAGCAGGGGGGTAAGGAGCTTATAGCACAGCTCCACACCCTCATTTTAAGGATCTGGAATAATGACAAAATCCCAGATGACCTCAGGGATGCCATGCTTGTGACAATCTTCAAGAAAGGAGGCAGGTTTAATTGTGAAAATAAGAAAGGGATGGCCTTGCTGTCCATCATGTAAAGATCATTGCAAGAATTCTCCTGAACCATATTCTTCCACTTAATGAAGAGCTCCTCCCATGATCTCAAGGTGGGTTTAGGGCATCAAGAGGCACAACCAGCATAATCTTCACTGCTGATTGGCTTCAGGAAAAAATGCTGGGGAAAACATAAACCTCTTTACATGGTCTTTGACCTCATGAAAGTCTTGGCTGTGTCAACTGAGAAGTACTGTGAAGGATTTCAGATGACACCAAGGTGGAGGGAGTAGTAGATACAATGAAGGGTAGGACTAGGAGTCAGAGTAACTGAGACAACTTGGAAGACTGGACCAAAACAAATCTCATGAAGTTCAATAAGGACTCATGCAAAGTCCTGCACACAGACAGAACAATCCCATGCACCAGTACAGACTGGGGCCTGACTGACTAGGCAGAAGCTCTGCAGAAAAGGACCTGGGGGGTACAGTGGACAATACAATAAATATGAGTCAACAATGTGCCCTTATTGCCAAGAAGGCTAACAGCATACTAGGCTGCACTGGGAGAAGCATCAACAGCAAATCAAGGAAAGTGATTCTTCCCCTCTATTCAGCACTGGTGAGGCCACATCTGGAGTACTGTGTCCATTTTTGTGCTCCCTCCCCTCCCCCCAAAAGGATTTGGATAAGTTAAGGAGAATCCAGCAGAGGGCAACAAAAATAGTTAGGGGACTGAGGCACATGACTTCTGAGGAGAGGCTGAGGGAACTTGGCTAATTTAATCTGGAGAATAGAAGATTGAGGTGGGATTTAATAGCAGCCATCAACTACCTGAAGGGTGGTTCTAAAGAGGATGAAACTAGATTGTTCTCAGTGGTGGCAGAGAGTAGAGCAAGGAGCAATCATCTCAAGTTGCAGCAAGAAATGTTTAGGTTAGATATTGAGAAAAACTTTCTCACTAGGAGGGTAGCAAAGCACTGGAACAGGTTACTCAGAGAGGTTGCTGAATGTCCGTCCTTCGAGGTTTTAAAGATATGACTAAACAAAGCCTTGGCTGGGATGATCTAGTTGGGGCTGGTCCTGCTTTGAGCAGGGGGTTGGACCAGATGACCTCCTGAGGTTCCTTTCAACACTAATTTTCTATGATTCTATGATTCTAAGATCCTTATGAAGTATGAATGCCCACTAACATTCACCACCATTCTTCACTTCATGATGGTATATGAGCAGTACAGGCAACCCCCACTAATCACTCTTAATTGGTTCCTGAAAAAACAAGCATTAAGCAAAATGAGTAAGTGAAACTGAAAGCATTTGACAACCCAAAGTGGTGACCACAAGTGTTTTTAATGACCCAAGATAGTGACTATGAGCATTATAATGAAGCTCGCTGAGTGCTAAGTGAAATCAGGTATCAATTTAAAATGAGCATTATAGCAAAGTAATACTAAGTGAAACAGCTTTAAGCGGTGGTTGCCTGTAGTTCCCATTAATGGATCTATCACAAATCCTTTTGAGGTTAAGATGGGAGCTAAGCAAGGGTTCATCATCACTCCAACACTCTTCTCGGTATTCCTTACTATGACGTTACTTCTGAACACCAACAACCTTCCAGTCGATGTGGAGCTAAACTACTAATTGGATGGTAAGCTATTGAATCTCAGCCAATTCTAACCCCAAACCAAGGCTACCCTAACCCCAGTCATTGAACTTCAGTATGCTGATGATGCTGTAGTATGTGCTCACTCAAAAGCAGACCTTCAGGCAATAGTTGATGTCTTTACCAAGGTATAGAAGAAAATGAGACTCACACATAACATTCAGAAGACTAAGGTAATCCATTAACAAGCCCTTAATGAACAGTCCCCAGCTCCTGCAATCCAGTCTTACAGTGAAACTCTAGAACATTGAGTATTTCTCGTACCTCAGAAGCCATCTTTGGCAGACGGCTGACATTGATGAAGAAATCCACCATTACCTCAAATGTGTAAGTTCAGCCTTTGGATGCCTGAGGATATGGGTATTCAAAGATCATGACATCAATTTGAAACCAAGATCATGGTTTATCAAGCAGTTGTGATCTCTACCTTAGTGTACAGAGCTGAGACATGGACAACATACATGAGACATATTAAGTCACTGGAGAAGTACCACCAACTCTGCCTGCAGAAGATCCATTGAATCCAGTGGGAAGACAGACACACCAATATTAGCATCCTCTTAAACACCACAAGCATCCAGGCAACGATCATCAAAAATCAACTTCTTTGGGCTGACCATGTCATCTGGATGTCTGACTGCAGGATCCCAAAGTAAGTTTTATTCTTAAAAAATAAAATGCAACAACAGTATAATGGGAAACTATTGCCCAGGACCTCCCAAATGGAGGAAGAGTCTGCTGCAAGGATCGCAGTACTTTGAAAGCTCATAATGACAACAGGAGAAAGAAAAGCAGGAGTAGTAGAAACAGTGTGTTGCAGACCAAATCAGGAATCTGGAGTCATCCACCCCACAAGGAAACATATGCCTCTGTAGATCCCAGATTGGCCTTGTTAGGCATCTGTGGACACACAGATGAGTCAATCATGGAAAACACTCATCCTCAACTGTGAGGGATTGCTACTGCTGGAAGATGGAAGGTCATACCAAAATATGAGTGAGTTGTATCTGGTGTTTCTGGTTCAGGCTCCCTCAAATTGCCAAATTTACCCCTTACAACTTTAATTGGGAAAACATTGTCTACTGTTGTTCTCACAGTGTCTTGTCACTTTATATTCTTCTGGCTTTTTCCCTTTCATTTTCAAATACTTACTGGTAATAATGATGGGGTGACACAATATTTAGTATTAAAGATGCTTGCAACTGCTGTTACAAATCAAGTGATGCATCTCTAAACAGTACAAGATGGTGCTTACAGGTGAAAAACTGACACATGAATGAGAAATAGTACACTAGATGATATCCCTGGGAAAGGTCTCCAGGTTCCATAGAATGTGTGTTAATAGAGCAAAGCACACCAAAATAAGGCTTATCCTATTGCATAAAATCTGTCATATTTTTGACAAATTACATCAACAAGCTTCCCTACACCTTAGATTAAGCTAAAACAATGCTTTCATTTTAATATACCATGTGACATGCTAAAATTAGTACCACCTAAAAAAAACCCCTCCTTGCTGGCTTTCCTCAGTTACAAATGTATGCAGTTTTGTTCTTATAACATTTTATGTATCCCTCTTTACTAGTAGAACATACACAGAGTCAAAATAAGGAATAAATATTACTATAATGTTTTGAAGAATATTAAAAAGAAAGTATTTAGCTCAAAGCCAACACCATGGTCAGTTTGAAGTGCATAGTTATAGCATTATGAAAATCCTTGTAGTTATGTGATGGAGTATCTTAGGCCACAGAAGTAAATGGTCCTATAAGTAAATGGTTCCATGCAGGAACTTGGAAACATCATCAGTGCTTAAGTTCAGTTCAAGTTTCACCCTGATTGTCTATTGTGCAGCTGGGTTTATCGTTCCCTACACCCCTGAAAAATACCTGAGGAGGTTATCCACAGATGCCTTGAAATCTGTGTCTCTGCACTGTGTCCTGTCCCAGCATTTGTCTTTCCTTTCAGCAGCATAGCTCTCAAGCATGAAGGGTATCTTAGGTTTCAGAAAGAACCTGTAAAGGTAATGATGCTAACTTAGAAATAGCTTGTGCTACTTTGATCTAATGGTTTTGGCTGGACAAAGATACAAACCATGTCATGTAAATAAACCTGTCCATATGCTTCAAATATAACCAAATATATCCTCATGAAGTTTTCAGAGAAGGGCTTCTGTACAGTCAGTGAAGGGAAAATATGCTATGAATGTATGTGGTGCTTCCTGCAGCTTGAGAATATGGAGTGGAGTGCTGGGTTTCTCTCTAGTCTAACCTAGTATTAACAGCTATTCTGCCATGAATGAATGTAAAGCCAGAGCTTCTGTGGAGCAACGTGAAGACATTAGGCCTGTCTGAAGCAGCCAGTATTTGATTTGGATTTGGCTGATTCAGGGGACAGTGATTCAATTTGGTGATTTGGATCACTGTCCTGAATTGATTCGACCAAATTGGATTTGAAAGATTTGGTACTGGTTAGGTGTGATTTTGTGATTTGGCCATTGACTATAATGGGGAATAACTAAAATACCTATAACTTTGTCATTTATTTGTGGAATTGAATGAAAACAGCAAGGGTGGTAGCCCCTTCTGAGGGCATGAAGCCTGCCAAGTTTCAAGGAGATAGGTTCAGGAGCTTCTGTGAAAGTGCACCTCAATCTGTTGAAATCAAAACTTGTGTCACTTGTGTGTGTTAACTCAGTTTCAGGTTATAGCCATGTTGGTCTAAGGAATAGGCAGGCAAGGTTCTTAGAGTAGATGTGATATCTTTTATTATACCAACTGAATAATTGGTAGTAGGGCTACCACCCCTGACATTTTCATATCTTGGCAAGCTTTTGGGTTTAAAAACCTTTCATCAGGCTGAGGAAGCATTTGCAGTTTGTGTGTCTGTGCTCTTCCTGGATGGAATGAATAGTAAAGAAGCCAGAGGCTGGGCTGCATACAAGAAAGCCAGTCAGTGAAAATGTAAATTCAGGTGGCAGGGGGTGAGAGAGAGACGGGGGGAAGAGGGAAAGGGAGATGTAGCAGGTAAAAGTGGAGTCATACCTGGGGAGTCAGATGTCAGGCAGGTTATCATGTGTCATAAATCCAAAGTCTATATTGAGTCCATGAGTTTTTGTATCGAGGAAGTTGACGAAGTGAAGTTCATAGGCTTGTCTGTGAAAAGTGTTTTGTAAATTCAAACAAGCACCAAACCTCACTAACCTCATCACCAGAAGCCAACTGCCTACAGCTGAAAACACACTGAATGGATCCAGATCATGCCATGACAACAAATGCAAAACCTGACAACATATCTCCAGGACCCCAACAATTACTACACCCCATAATAGAGCCATCACCATTCCTGGATCTTACAGCTGCACCTCCAGCTACATTATATATCTCATTCAGTGCACCAAATTCCCTGATGGAAAATACATAGAAGAGACCAAACAACAACTCTGCACCAGAATGAATGCACACCAGACATCTACAAAAGATAAGAACACCCAGTTACCCGTGGGGGAACATTTCTGACAAGAAAACCACTCTCTCTCCAATCTCTCAGTCATAATCCTCAAAGGGAATTTACAAAACACCTTTTGTAGACAAGCCTAAAAACTTCACTTCATAAATCTACTGGATATAACAACTCATGGACTCAATATAGATATTAGATTTATGTTACATTATAATCTGCCTGACATCTGACTCCCCAGGTACCAGGACACTCAGGTCCCCTGGTTCCAGATCCAGCTCCTCCTCTGGGACTCGGAGGATCGCACCGGATTTGGGGTGGAGGAGACAGTCGTGCTGGTGGCTATTTTTGGTGTTAGTGGAGGTGGTGCAGGGACAGGTACTGCTCCCACCTCCTTGCTTCCACTGGCTGCAGAAGACTCATTGCTGCCAGGAAAGAGGGTGCATCTATGTTTGGGGGGGATGGGGACTCGCAGATCTACCCTTACCCCCTCTAGCCCCTCTACCTCCCCTGCCAGAAGACCTGGCACCCGCCTTTCCAGTATGCTTCATAATGTTTGCTGTGATGGAAAATGTGTGTGTATGTAATATATCTTGTACGTGTTTAATATATCTTGTATGTGTGTGTAATATATCTTCTATCTGTAATATATCTTCTATCTGTTTAATGTATGTGTGTGTAATATAACTTTTATGTGTTTAATATATGTGTGTGTGTGTATTATATGTGCTTTCCTGCACAGTGATGGATGACACTGCCAGGGAAAACACAGCTTTCATTTTAAAAAGTGTTGGGGGAAAAAAATAACAAGAATAAGAGGATTTTGGGGGAAGAATAAATTGAAAGGAAAGGTTTGGATAGGAATAAGTAGAGGGATTCTAGGCAAGGGTAATTAGTAAGGTGTATCCAATCCTTTCCAAGAAGAGAGACTAGCAAGAGACTGACTAGCAAGCCAGCCACAAGTAGCAGCAAGTACCTTTGACACGCTGTTGCTTCCAGACAAGCAGCTCACAAAAGGCAGAGAAAAACTTCACACAGATCCTTATATGCTGTTTCTACATACCTCCCCTAGAGCACTGTGATTGGACGGGAACTCAGGGAAAGCTCACACTTACTGGCTAGCTGCAGATGTCAATATCAGAACAGTTTCTTCCCCCTTCCCCTCTTCTCAGTTTCTGTTTCCCCGCAAGACCGCCTTCCGAAATGCTGAGTCTTTTCTGAGTCTTTTCTGAATCGATTTGGATGCTTCAAATAAATTTGGAGCTTTTAATGAGTCTCCCAATTTGATTCAGATTCAATGATTCAGCCACTGAATTGGGCCAAATCTTCTTTGAATCAAATCAGGGACCAAAGCTTTGCACACTCCTGGAAGACAGTGCCAGTTTCAGACTGCTCTCCTACCATTGTACCACTGCTAAAAGACTAGAAAAAAGTGTAAGGAGAATGCAAGCATTTAGACATTCTAAAAGTCTCCATTATAAAAGACTATGAAAAGTAGGTTATCAGAGATGGGTTGATTATTTGGTTATAGCTTTTATCACTTTTTCAGATTTGGGGGTTTTGTGAGGTTTGTGGTCATTTTGTGAAGGGGTTTGGTGGGGGTTTTTTGGTGTTTTATCATTTTGTGAGAGGTAAATATTATTTGGCATTCCAGGTAAATAGTTCTTTTATTTTAGGTCCGTGAAGTGACAAGAAAAATTATTCATGTATCTAATGAGGCTGTTACCGATGACAACCTATATTCTGATATTCTTATGCTGTGGGGACAATACATAGATCATGATATTGCATTTACACCTCAGAGCACAAGCAGAGCTACCTTCCTAAGAGGAGTGGATTGCCAACTGACATGTGAAAACCAAAATCCCTGTTTTCCAATGAAGGTATGATTTTAACTGCATTTGCTCAGAAATGCTACCAGGCAAACAGGTAAAAAATGTAAAGTAGGGTAAGTTGTACAACAAATATGTGGACACTATTGTAATAGAACATGAAAGGGATTTAAAAGATTATCAGAAATAACACAGCATAAAATTATTGAATTGTGTTCAACATAATTATTAAATGACAGAGAAAGTCAGATGTACAGAGGGAAGGGGTTATAGTGAGGTGTACATGATATGTCTACATCATTTAGTACAAATACAGGAATATTAATGGGCAAGAAAAAATATAGGCAGTGTTTTTGTGCTTTAAGGTTTTAAATGCCAGTGAGAAAAGAAGGCAAATAGTCAGAAATAATTCTGTTTTTTAAACTGTCAATCAGATAAGTTCAAGGAACTTAACTTTACTCTGTGAATGCGTGATTATTTCCATTGGCTAACTTGAAATTGTGAAAAATCATGCTTTAATTATTTCACCAAAATGATCTTCCGTGGTTTGCAGAAATGTACATAAAATGGGTCATAACTTTTGAGCAAATGGGGAAAAGTTGGACTCCAAATCTTGTTATCTTCTGGTTGAAAGAGAAAATAAGCTTGCAAAAAAAGAGGATTATGAATCCTTGTCTGACTTACTAGTAAGACCTTTCCATTACACTGTTAAGTAGCAAATTAAATACAGCGCATAAACCAGAGGAGATTTTCTTCCTTGCATAGAAAATAACACCGGGTGCAATAAAGTCTTAGTATCTACACATATGACTCTATCAGGCTATCATAAACTAATAAACACCACTATAGGTTAGTAGTTGTCAACACAAGTACTAGCCTATGCCAGTGTTATTTAGTGTGCCACGAAGCATGTGTAGATGATGACAGGGCTGGTTGAGGCATGAGGGTGTTTCAGTGTTGGGGCTGCCTGCCAGTTAGCCCTGCACTGGAGCCGCAGCATGTTGAGCCACAGGCTGATAGGCTGATCCCCTGGGGCTGCTCCAACCTGACTCAATATGCTGCTGCCCCAGGTGCACATATAAACATGGTGCCTGGGAGCAATAAACTCTGATGCAATATGTGCTGGAGTTTATTTATTGCATTAATTGCAGGTATACACACACCCACTAAGTACCTTTTAAAAAAACAAATTGTGTCTTTTCAGAACAACAAAAATCTAGTAAGGATACCCAGATTATGACACTCAACCAAAAAACAGTCCTGTGAATGCTGTGGCTTCTCAAGGCAGCTTCAAAAATATTCAGGCCAATTGATTCTTTTCCACGATGGTTGTCCTTTACCTAGTGAAATTCTTATTCCATTACACGTAGGGCTGGTGCTAATTCCTGTTAAGTCAGAATGGTAGCTTACTTATGCGCACATTCACTTTCCATTGACATAACCAATTTTCCAAGGTGCAGCTGCTAATCGGATCCATTGTCTTCATTCACTGTATCTTTTTACATTTCCATTGAAGTCAGTGGAAAGATTCCTGTTGATTGTCATGGACATGGACAGCCCTTGTAACTGCAGTGATTAGTCATCTCCCTTATGCTTAGTTGCTCTAAAACATGGAGGAAACTGAAGTAAATTAATAACCTGTGTGCTGAATAGACTACTGACAGGGAGTATGCATAAGGGATGTGTATTCCAAATACACCATAAAGCCTTTCTTGGAGGCATTTTAAAAAGCAGTGACTAAAAAGAACAATCATGCTTTGTAAAAAAATATGAACATTTGAAAAACAGTTTAATGTACCTGGGAAAACCTAGCTATCATTAAAAAAATTGTATTGTGTTTTAAATTAAAAGAAGCAAATATGGCACGTGTCTTTAAATGTAAAGAACAAATTCATTGTTAGAGCTAGAGCACTTTCGTAATATATGAACTGACTTGTTCTTCTACCATTCCTTAAACCAGACCAAATGGGACCCGTCAAACCTATTTAGGAGCACAGAGGAGGAAGAGAAGTCTGGTTGCTTCACCCTACCACACCAGTTTCCTGCATAGTCCTTCTGGCTCCTCTTCTGTGATCCCCTTCTTTTACTAGCTGATAGGCTCACTAACTTAGTGAGGAGAGCTTTAAAATAGGTCTGGCAAGGGGGTGGAGACAAAAGACCTGTGGTAAGTGGGGAAGTGGGTGATGTGGAGGAAGAGCAAGCAGGATGGGGCAACAGGGTAGATGAGAGAATGTTCTCATTTTTCTTGACCAACCAGGGCAATAGGCTAATTACCTTAGGTGCCTGTAGGCAAATGAACAAAGCCTGAGAAACAAGCACAAATAATTGAAAGTCCTTTCACAGTCACAGAAATATGCCATTATTGGAATAACACAGACTGGGTGGGATAGTTTGCATGACTGGAGCTCTGTCATAGATGGGTGCAAATTGTTCAGGAAGGATAGGCAAGAGAGAAGAGGAGGAGGAGTTGCACTTCATGTAAAAGAGCCGTATGATTGCTCAAAGCTCCAGTATGAAACTGGAGATAAGCCTCTTGAAAATCTCTGAGTTAGCGTCAGAGGAGAGACAAACAAGGGTGATGTCATGTCTGCTATAGACCACCAAACCAGTAAGAAGTGATGGATGAGGCTTTCTTCAAACAGGTAATGGAAGTTTCCTGATCACAGGTCCTGGTTTGCGTGGGGACTTCAGTCACCCTGACATCTGCTGAGAGGGCAATACAGCAGTGCACAGGCAGTCCAGGAGGTTTTTGGAGAGTGTTGGAGGCAGCTTCCTGGTGCAAGTGCTGGAGCAGCCAACTAGGGCCCATACTCCTCTTGACCTGCTCACAAGCAAGGAAGAATTGGTGGTAAATATAGTAGTGGATGGCAGATTGGGAAGCAGTGACCATGAGATGATTTGAGTTCAGGATCCTGAGGAAAGGAAGGGTGGAGAGCAGCAGAGTAAGGACTTCAGAAAAGCAGACTTTGACTTGCTCAGGGAACTCATGTGCAGGATCCCCTGGAAAGCCAGTCTGAGGGGGATGACTGGCTCTGTGGAAGTGGGGAAACTAGTGGATGTGGTATATTCTGTTTCTAGCAAGCCTTTTGATACAGTCTTCTACATTCTTGCAGGCAAGCTAAGGAAGTATTGGTGGATGAATAAACAGTAAGGTGGATAGAAAACTGGCAGGAGCATCAGGGTCAGAGGGTAGTAATTAGTGGCTTGATGTCTACTTGGCAGCTGGTATCAAGTGGAATGCCCCAGGGGTCAGTCTTGGGACTAGTTTTGTTTAATATCTTCATCAACAACCTGGAAGATGGCATAGAGTGTACCCTCAGCAAGGTTGCAGATGACACCAAGCTAGGGGGAGTAGTAGATACACTGGAGGGTCAGGCTAAGACTCAGAGTGACCTAGATAAATTGGAGGATTGGCCCAAACAAAGTCTTATGTGGTTCAAGGACAATTGCAAAGTCTTGCATGTAGGACGGAGCAATCCTATGCACTGATACAGGCTTGTGGCTGACTGGCTGCTCAGCAGCTCTGTGGAAAAGGACTTGGGGGTTACAGTGGCCAATAATAAGCTGAATATGAGCCAGCAGTGTGGCCTTGTTGCCAAGAAGGCTAACAGCATACTGGGCTGCATTGGTAGGAGTGTTGCCAGTAGGTCAAGGGAAGTGATTATTCCCCTCTATTCAGCCGGTGAGGCTGCATCTGGAGTACCATGTCCAGTTTGGAGCCCACCACTGCAAAAAAAATGTGGACAAATTGGAGAGAGTCTAGCAGCAAACAACAAAAATGATTCGGGGGCTGGGTCACATGCCTTCTGAGGAGAGGCTGAGGGAACAGGGTATTAATAGCAGCTGTCAACTACCTGAAGGTGGGTTCAAAATAGGATAGAGCTAAACTGTTCTCAGTGATGGCAGATGACAACAAGCAGCAATGGTCTCAAGTTGCAGCAAGGGAAGTTTAGGTTAGATATCAGGTAGAACTTTCTCACTAGGATGGTAGCAAAGCCCTGGAACAGGTTATCCAGCGAGGTTGTTGAATGTCCATCCTTGGAGGTTTTAAAGATATGGCTAAACAAAGCCTTGGCTGGGATGATCTAGTTGGGGCTGGTCCTGCTTTGAGCAGGGGTTTGGACTAGATGACCTCCTGAGATCCTTTCCAGCCCTAATTTTCTATGATTCTATGATCTCTACTAGGTCATGACTGTCACTAATTACCTTAAGTAATTATTATTCTCATAATGAATTTCATATGGATTTTCATAATGAAAATCTATTATGATCTAAGAAATGTATTACCATGGATTGTTCAAATGCCTGAACTGGTTCAATTAAAAGCAGTGGCACCAGAAGCCTCCTAGAAACTTTACTAGTGTGTAGGAAGGAGATCATCTACATCAGAGGTTCCCAAAGTTTTTCTTATTGTGTACCACATCTAGATTTATCAGCAGCCCATGTACTCCTACCAACATACATTTTATTTTTAACAGCATAAAAGCCAATTTATATAATGAAAATTAAATCTGCCATTACACAATTTTCCCCACGCCCTTAGATGTCCTGCATACTCTCAGGGGTATATGCCACAGTTTGGGAACCCCTGATGTATGTCAGCTGGATTTCCCTGAGGCTTTTCTTGTAGCAGTGTTTAATAGAGAGGAGGGTATATGGCCTTCTCCAACCCTGTGCTTATAAAACACAGTGGAAAATATGAGTCTGGTTAAGGAATCACATACTAAACCAAGGTTAGGAAGACTATGATAATGGTTACAGGGAGGCAGCAAGTTTAGACTCATTGTCGTAGTTACCACTGACAACTTGAGGCTTCTGAGTAGGAAGCAGACCCATTAGAGAATGTGAAGAGAGAGTGTCAGGCAGTTTACATAATGCAAATAACTTTTGGAGAATCATCCTAATTTTTTAATTCTTGTCTTAATTAAACTAATTTCCTCTAAGCCATGACATCTTGGTACTTCTCACTTCTATTCTTCATTATTGAATTTATGAATCCAAATGAATGACACTGACATTATTCCCTTTAATGTTAGCTAAAAGTAGGTTGT